AACAGGCATCAAGCCTTAGCAAACAGAAAAGATAAGAAGGTAGGTGTGATGTCCATATGGGTTCTGAAGATGATAAGGTATAAGTTAATCAGTGATGGTGAACTCCCAACCATTTGGTAGCTGTTATCCAAGCATAGGTAGTAAGAACAGCCATTAGAGAACCAATGAAAATAAAGAAGAAGTAATGTACAACTAAGGTGGTCAAGTAATGGTGCAAGATTGCATTTGACCAACCATGCAGAAGTTGGGAAGATAAGTGATAAAAACCAACTGACTCGTAGAGGACATTGGCTAACATAGACTACTGGCTCTAATCTCATAAACACCTATTGTAACACTTTTATGCAGTCATGGTAAGTATGTGAAGTGTGGGCAAACTGACCTAAGTGCTGCTGAATATCCTTCAGTAGGTTGTGGTCAGTCAGATAGGGACTAACCATGTTTAGTATAAGTTGGCATCTTTGGTATATATCTAGAGCTGGTTGGCTACTCCCCAAATCTTCCTAAATACCTTCTTTGGGCCCTAAAATGGGTGCATGCTTATCATTGGTTTTGCTGGTTTTCCTAAACTATAACTTGAATTTTGTTAGGAAATTAGTCTAGGTCCCCAAGTCCTGAGAGAGAGCTGCCCCTACCATTTTAGTGAGGAAGTTCTTTGCCCAAGCTCCTGCCATGCCATATCTCATGCATAAGAGCACAAGAGAAATCCTGTCCTAATTGGTCTTGTACCTATCAGATTCTGCTGCAAAGAGAAGAAGACATTATAGCATGAATTTCTAGGATTCAATACAGTTGCCTGTGTGATTGTCTAAGAGTTTGACCTTTTCTCTTCTGGGTTGTGTAGCTATAGAAGGGGTGATTGTAGAAGCTAATGCTTGTTCCAATATGTTAGTAAGTGGTTAGTTTTGGATGTTGATTGGTATTTGATTAGGTAATGAGTTGGAGTCTGAATAGGAAAGGGATTCCTCTTGTTCCAATTTGTCAGGGATTACCAGCACCAGATCTCTATACTAGGGTAATGCATCCTAATAGTTTTCTGTTTTGTTCCAAAGAAATTCTTTCTCTGTTCAATTAGGGAAGGTAAGATAGTAGTGCCTGTTTTTGTGTGAGCAGTTATCATAATTGGGTAGAGCATTTGTGTTGGTATTTGTGTTGGTGTCTGTCTAGAACCAAAGGCTTCTTTCTTGTCAGATAGGATGAGTATTATGACAGAACTGATTATTGGTTTGTGTAGCACTAGGAGGATATTTCTGGCCTAGGTCTTTCTCCAGAGTATATGCAGTAATGCTTTCTTAATAGGGGTCTATTCCCTAATAAGTAAGGTTGTGAGGGAAAGTGTGGCAGCAAGCTAGAGTTCAAGCAAGGTAGGGATAAAAAAGTCTATTCTAGTGTTTTAAACTGCTTATTTGATAATACCATGAGTAGAAGGTTCTTCCCTAGGTCACTTGATGAGAAAAAGTGGAACAATAGTCCCAACTATATGTGCAGCACAGGAGTAGATGGTATTGCAGATAGGGATAGCATGAGGACTACCTAGGAGTGTCCTACAGTAGGAAGACTAAAGGGTAATGAAAGAGAATAGACTAAAGATCCTTAGCCTAGTTTATGGGCCTCTTATACTACTTTGGGAAGGGTATGAGAATCCCATATATGTATACTTATAGGTATTCTCTAAGTTATTACTCTCCAAGAATGACTGACTATTCTTGGTTCTGCACTTGTCTTCTTCCAACAAGGAGGACAAAGAGCTCTGCTCCTTATGAGTATATATGTGTAAGCCTGTATTGGCCATCTGTACAATGTCCTGTGATGCTCAACCAGCAATGAGTACATCTGCTAGAAGTGGATAACCAAGGACAATACTTGTACCTTAGTATACACCTCATGATGTGAAGCCACTTAGTAGTTGTGATGATCCTATTAGTATAGACTGCCATAAAGGCTCAATAATCATAATCATAACATATATTAGGACACTAGCAATATTTCCCCAATTTAGAGGGCAAGTAAAGAATAAAATTTACATATTTCTGCCCTTACATTCATCTAAGTTACAGACTATTTGCAACAAGATTGTTAGCTATCCTATACACTAAGCTGCCTTTTACAAGCTCACTCTCAAAAACCACAAAGATAAAGTGTTCCTGGATGGATTTCTAATCTATGAGTTGATGCCTATGTATGATGTCCATATGTAGTGGAATAGTATACATACAATAATTGAGTGGGATATGGTACTCAGAAAGATATGCACCTATTTGCTACCTTATCACTGAGGTTTTATAGAGGACAGTATGAAGGTGATCAATATATGGATTTGGCAGCATAAGGAGCTTTACAACCTCCTTTCAACTATAATAGATTGGAAGATCTTTGAGCAAGTCCACTCTATCCTTAATGTATATCCAGATTCTTTTAAGATGCCCTCTTATAGTTAAAAATATGTCTCAATCAGATACACCAACACTGCCTTAGGTTCTTCCCTTATATGCTTACATAAGGAAGGAACTTAAATCTTGTGCAAATAACATCACCTTGCTTATGGATCTACATAAGGCAGTTGCTGTGGGTCTGACAAAGCAATGAGTATTATACCATGGCAATGAAGTCTTAGTACACAAAGCTAGTAATAAGTAAGTCTCTCATTTTTTATCTTAAATTCACAGTATTAAGCTAACTTGAAATAATATAATCTGCTATCCATACCTTTATATTTGGTAATTTGAAACTCTTAGCAAGGACAAGTGTACTCAGGCTTAGGTATTATTCAAGCATATGTATATAGAATACAAATCCAATACTCTGGATATACAAGACATGCCCAGTATGTTATAATATAATACAGATACAGTTCAGACTAACTTCCTTTGCTTTATTGTATATCTAACTTTGATTGGCCCAAGTAAAGATGTTGTTGTTGTCTAGCACTCTCAACTGGATCACTGGGCCAGTTTTAAGGGTGGTAGTGGGAACAAGGATTATCCCTTGATATGGTAGAAGTTAAGAGGCACAATTTACTTATCGAATATTAGCTAATATCTTTTCTAGGCACATGTATTAGAGTTTTATATTATTTCAAGAATGGCAAGAGACTTTTTGGCTATACTGGGAACTTCAGTTGCTATTGAACAGCTCTTCTCAGATTCTTGACATATGTATGCTAATACTTGTTACTTATTAAAAATAGTAACAATCTGAGAATTAATGTTAGAAAAGTGCTGGTTATGGTCTGGTCTACTAGAAATTTAACCAATCAAATAACTACTATTTAATCATGTTTAAACTATTGTTTATCTAAGTCTAATTTGTCAAGCCTATCCTGCCACACATGTGTTACTTTTTATAGCTGTTACTATGCTCACTTTGCTCTTTCTAAAGCTACTTTCACCTGCTATATTGAAATTAGTACCATGCACAACATATGCATAAACCTTCAGACAGGTATTCTACACTCTGATATAACTGATTAGTTATTAATGATAGAGAACTAGATGCCCACTTCTGTCATGACAAAGATACTTTGAGTGCTAAACTCAACCATTATTGAGCCCCAGCCCTTATAACTACTCTTTTAGGTCTGCTTTCTGTTCTATTTCTATGAAATCTACTACTAACTAATATTATAATTGCCATGCCAGGCTTTAGCACACAATGTTCATTAATAATAGACATTACATTTCTTTTTAAATCATCCATGTCCAACTTCATTGTTGTACCAACTAATAACAATGAGTTATTGCAAATATAACAAATCAGTCATGGGTTTTCTCAAGGACCAGCATTCAAGTCAGACATCATTGAAGCCTGCAAAGCCTTTGTTGAGAGTTACTAAGCAGGATAAATTTTAAAGTCTATCACTTCCCATAATATTCTAAATATGCTTGAAGTCACTAGAGTAGGTGACTATAAGCAAGTGCTTACTGCTAAGCCAAAAGACCTCAAATATAATGATTTCTTCAAGCAGCTCAATGAAATTGATCATATCTAATCCTCTATTATTGCACATAGTAATTCAGCATCTATTACTCCTAGGAGAGACATATTGGGTAACCTACAAAAAGTTTCCAGGGTTCACACGGACATTCTTCAGTACCCAGGTTCAATGGAAAGAGTTAAGCACAACAATTGATGTTCCTCTAATACAGTCCCCTTACTCTTGTCCAGACTTGGGTCTACATCAAAATAATCCCACATGAATAAAGAAGAAAAGGATTATCATGATGTTAGAGGGAAAAAACACATTAACAACTTCCTCTTACTTTTCCTTCCTTAGCTAAAGGATATCAATTGGCTCTTTTATATCAACAAATAAATTGAGCAGACCCCCACTCCCAAATAAAATTATAGCTGCAACTACACCCCCAGCGCCTTGTTTGGGATGATGACCAATTCGTAGTATGAGAGTGGTACTCAGGAGCAAAATCAGAATCACTTCTGATTTGATGAGAGTAAAGCTGAGAATCTCAATCTCAGCAACACAACAGTCCAATTCTGAATATAATGCTGAAATTCTCATATCTCAGCATAATGCTGAGATCGAGCATCCCATGCCTTACCAATAGTTTGCTGAATAATCAAACCTCTTCCGCCCAAACTTGATCCAAGCAGTCAGTGCAGAGGGCATGGCACCGGAACCCTTTTGAGATCCTATATGTAAGTACTGTGCCTAACTGAGCCATGCAAAATATGAATACTCACAATATGCAGACTGGCAAGTAGGCATTGGAGTCCATCAAAATTTGTGGACTTGTTTGGCGTGCAAATATACTCAATGGAGGACTGCTTACGACGCCTGCCGCCGTGAGAAAGGTCTGGCACACCTCGATCACGTAGCATTTCTGTATGAACAGTCCGTTGTAAACCCCCCAAATATTTCTTTGCTAGAAGAGCGACTCACTGCAGTCGCCGCTCCCCTCTCCGAGCTCTGTTGAGATCTGGCCACCTCGCTTGACCCCCATACCTCAGCCGATCACCGACGACCCTTTACACCCGCCCCTGCAATGCCGCCAACTGCTTATACTCTAGGTGCTGATCTCATCACCCCCGTCGATAAGGGCGCAATATCTTCCATGAGTCATTCACTGGCCCAATGGCTTGTGGATCCCTTATATCCACCTTCAGCACCCCTTCCATGTGGGTCTATGCCCATCCCCGAGCAATTCATTCCCCACCGTAGGTCTCGGATTGTGTGATTTAATAACTGAGTCTCACCCTTTTCCACTTCAGACAATTTGTACACAGGCATGCCCCATCTCTGTCAGCATCGCGACACTGGCGAGAACACCACGTGGTATCCATGGCCGAACAAAGTCGTAAGTCACCCTTTTTGTTTTACCAAACATTCTTTGATCACTCATGAGCTGTTCAATCAACAGGTTTGCGTCCTTGATATCCTTCGCAACCTCCCTCGGTCTCTTTTTTCAAACTCGCAAATAGAGATCATAGCCTGGGCTATGTTTAACCTCGGCATCTCTAACCTTCCATCAACATCCGGACTCAAGGAAACCGTTAACACACTGCAAGAATGCTACGGTATTCGCATGAATTGACACGAGGGTGCCCTGGGACATATATACTACACCAATAGCCTGGCTGACCAGATCTCTCAAGCATGTGCCCAATTGCTTCTCTCTTGTTCTCATATGCTAATACCTATCTTTCCAGGAATTCAGCAATCCTCGGGTCGGCCCACACTTGTGTGCCTATCCAGAAGATTCTGGCAAGCTGCTCGAGGAAGCTTGGCAGGGCGACCGCTGGCGACACGACCTCAATTCAAGTTTGACAACGCCAATGATACAAATGGGTGCTCAAGACTTCTATTTGTTCGAACCCACCAAACTGGATGATGGACGCGTTATCCTTCCAACCCACTGGTTTTTCCGCACAGAGGTGGATGGAGGTCGGACTACCAAACTGTTTTTTGCGGAAGCATGCCGACTAGAAGCAGTGATATTGGAGGGATCGCCGAGTGGATATGTTGCTCATGAATATGACCGGTTTATCGTTGATGCCCGGCATCTTATGTTTGCATTCCCGACACTCGTAGACATGTTTCATATGGACAATCTACCTGATCCATGTGTGATGCTAGGTCTGTCTCTATGTTACATAGAATCCCTCTGACCAAATTGATGTTGAGTTCTACAGGTTTGATTAAATTGTCGGGGCTGGGTATGCATCCATGGACCTATACCAAGGATCCGGCACAAGGAAACGACTGGTGTATCAAGGGAAAAGGACACCGTGTGCTTGTATTGATGATGTGACTTTATTGTAATGACACCTTGGGCAACTTATCAAAGAAATGGAACAAGCACAATTCATTCCTGTGGACACCGGCAGGACTTCCTTGTTATTTGGCTCAAAAACAATACAACATGCACTTTCTCTCTACATCTAACATAGCACCACTACTTGAAATGATGGATGGTGTGGTTACCCAGCTCGAGTAAGTTTACATGTTTCTACTCTTGTGTGTATCATCACTCAATGGTCAATTGAACTTAGGGATGCTCAACAAGAAGGAATTTGGGCATGGGATGTGGCAGCGCAAGAATATGTATTAGTTTTTTCAGTTGTCCTAGCTCTCCTTGGAGATAACCCCATGTAGAGTAAATTCGCGTGCCATATTGGTCTGCGTGGCAAGTTCTTCTGTCACGCTTGCTGGGTCAAGGGGAAGGATGCAGACGACGAATTAGCAGCACCCATGATGATATCTAGCATGGCCAATGATGCCGGTGAGAATGCCCTTAATGAGATCCACTGTGATTCCCTGGGCAACTCTTCTGCAGATGGTGACTCTCAAGATGGAAATTCTACCTCTGGTCTGTCCACCAAAAGCGCAGCTAATGCAGACTCTCCGGAGCTTGCTGCACCAGCAATAGTGCAGTCCGTGGGTTCGACTCTGTCGACACTTGAGGGACAAGCAGGTGCCATCCTTGACCACCCGCTAACTAAGAAGAAAGGACGCGCTCTTAAAACATTGCAGCAACTCTGCGATCGTGCCCGACATTCTCTCAGGGTGAGTGCCTGGTTGAATTGGTGTATAATGACAAGTCTCACCTGGGAACAGCCCATGGTCATGCGCGATAAAGAGGATACCCAGTGGAAACTGAGGTCGATATTCGACACTTCACGGCGAGTGGGCAGCATGAGTCAGGCTGCTAAGATGCAAATGGCTTTCGGGGTGAAGGATACATACCAAGAGGTGTACACAGACAAGATCCATGTAGTTGCTCGGAAGGTCACAGGATCTATGGCTGTGAGACAGAAAGCCATAGATGACTTGGTCAAATCCTTCCCACCTGTGGTATCGAGTCCAGTCTGGCGTATTAAGAGTATGTCTCGATTTTCTTGTACAGCGTTGCGACTTCATACCTCTTGCTCATTTACTTTATCGAGATCTTGATCCACACTTGGATACCCCTGTGGAGATCCTTCACGTTATTCTCCTTGGGTTTGTGAAGTATTTCTGGCGTGACGCAATCACATGACAGAATGTGGAACAGAAAGCCCTGCTGGCGACATGCCTGGAATCTCTGGATATGTCCGGTTTGGGGTGCTCAAGGTTTGTTGGTCAAACACTTGTCCAATATGCAGGATCCCTTACTGGACGCGATTTTCGGGTCATTACTCAAGTTACACCCTTTGTGCTATACAATCTGGCCGACAGTGATTGCTACGAAGCTTGGCTGGCCCTGTTTCACCTCATTCCCCTTGTGTGGCAGCCATCTATCAAGAACAAAACCGCACATCTTGTAAGTCACAGTTTCATCCCTGACAGTATCACTTCTGCGGAGATTTGCTAAACACACACGCTCCAGGATGAACTGGAGTGCCGGATCGAGCACTTTCTGCTGTGCACTGTCAAATGGACACCTTGTTGGTTCGACAAACTGAAGTTTCATATAGTGAGGCATCTGGTGTATCATATTTGTCGTTTTGGGCTGGCCATACTCTTTGCGACCAAATTGTTTGAGTCATTTAACACGGTTATTCGAGCACAAAGTATTCACAGTAATCGTCATGCTCCCTCTAAGAACATTGCCGTGGGATTCGCATATGGCAATTGGGTCCGCCATATCATGAGTGGCGGGGTGTTCCAGCTGTGCCTCATTGTGCGTTCATCTAGACAGACCATACGTGAGGGGGACTTGGAACTAGTATGCCAGGGTCCTCTGCCCAATGGCTCTCGCACTTGGAGGATGGCTGGACCTGATGCATTGGCTCTCATGCGGGCCAGCGATGTTCGGTTGAACTTCATGGCAAAACAGCTTGGGCTCCTTGATGATGCTGAGCTAGGCATTCCTGGTATGTTCTCCGCAACTATGAATGTATGTACACATTGTGTGGATCTCATGATGCCGCTAGGCATTGTGCAGCACGATGCCACACCCCTGCAAAGGTGGGGTGCTTTGCAAACAAGTGTGCAGGCCCCCCACAGTGTGCAAAATCCCCAACTTCATCTTTTCTTAACATGTGCCTCCGTCAACCTTATTGATGGTCAGCGCGCGGATGCGGGAACATGGGTTCTCAGTACTCACAAACTAGGAGGAGGGCCGGAGTTAGCGCGAGTGTCAAGGATTAAGGAAATCATTCAGGTGTGCGGCACTGAGGCTCAGCTAGAGGGGCGAGTGAACGGGGTGTTAGTGCAGTGGTATACAAATGTGGGGACATCAGCCATATACAAGCTGCCCATACTCAAAGCGGCAGGGTGGGAACTGCTCTCAATAGAGGTGAGAGTGTTTCTCATGATTTATACAAGGCACTCACTTCTCGATCTCAGGCTTTGTTGTATGCTGTGAACATGCAACATGATTGTGCATCGCACAAATGTGATACTTCCGCTTGAATTGCCATGCAACAAGAGAATGAGGTGATGACAAATTATCGACCAGCTGTACGTCACCGGGGGCCGGGAGACTATGTGCTGAACCTTGGTCAGATGCGAAACTCAGCATTGTTGACAAGCTTTCGTGCGCCAGCGGTAACGCTGGACCAGGAAACGTCAGTCCTCCATGGGGCCACTCATGAGATCGACATTCAGCGGTAAAGGGCCAGTGTTGCCTCTAAGAATATGAGCACCTCAGCATTTCGGGGATGAGGACAGACCACACCTCGGCCAGGTGCACGACGTGGGGGCGTGCCTGTGACTGCTGGTACCACAGCGGGACCATCAAGCGCGTGAGGGAGTACTGGTAGGCTTGGCCGCATGTCACACATTGCCGACACTGAAGTTTGAGTAGAAGTGAGGGGACAATATATTGGATTTGTATTGTAAAATAAAGCATGGTTGATAGTTCAACACAAAGCACAAGTGATGAAGCCATAGATGACAAGCTGATGCTGCGAGTGATGCGAGGCCAGCATTACGCCACGTGCCTGGCGTGAGATTTGCTCCCGCCCATTGTGCGCTCTTTGCCATGCAAGCTGAAACTCACTCTCTGTAATGGACGGCTCCTCATGGTCTAGGTGAGAGTCCTCAGACTTTGCAATGTCCCCACTCAACTTATTGTGTCTGTTCTCCCAATCCTAGTCTGGATTGACCTGCATATCTCCTGACCCTCCCGCAACCCTGACCTATCCCACACGATCCACCGGCACCAGTTGTGGCATCAACACCTGCATTTGTGGGGCTCTCCGGATGCTCATTGCTACCTCCTCAGGCAAGGATGGAGGCCTCAGCACCAATGATTTGGCATAGAGTTTGTCGTCTGGGCAAGGATCCTCAAGGACGAGCCATCGGTATCAGCGGTGCCAGGGTTGTCTGTACTCCAATGGTATGAGTCGCATGATCGTGCACAGCTGCAATGGGTGGATCCCCCAAAAGAGTGTCTTGTGTCCCTATTGTCCTCGACAATCCATTTTGGCCCTGATTGAGTCTCTTAAATCTTAACAAAAGATTGATGTTGACATTCTGTGACCAAACATGGCAGATGAGGCATGATCAATCATTGGACATAGTCATTCCGTATGCACCACGGTCACTGTTCCATCACCTCTATCAGTTGCTGTTATCTGAAGCCCATCCCCAACAGTGCATGTATCTCCAGTCTGACCAAGTCGATCCATAGTGCATAGGAAATGTGATTAAATCACTGAGCACTGCCTGCCTTCAGTGAGATACAAGGCCGACTCAAATGTGTTAAAATACTCACAAGGACACGACAGGCAGCCCCCGATGCCACCAAAAGATTTCCACCAATGCACAGAGAGTGAGTGATGCAACACAGAATTTCAATGGTTTTATGAGCAAATTTGGTCACTCAGTCACATGTGTGATCCTCGCACCTTACTGATTTTTTGTCATCCAACCCAGCAACCAGCATTCTTGGAGACTTACCACTAACCACATCCTGCATCTATGGATATGGAATATGAAGACCATGGCTCAACACCTTTTCAACCTCCTGCAACGGGCATATAAGGACATCGCTATGACACACTGGGAAGGTTGTCATTAAGGTCATATATGCCGACCGCTGTGCGGCCCCATTCCACGCAGCTTGGAGGACAGGCAACTACAGAGACTGCGCCATACAACATGTCCTACAGGCACTCAATGACACGCTTGCCTAGCCCCTTCACACAGCCTCCCTCTGCTTATGTGAAAACCACTCCCACACAGCACACTGCGGGACATCGCTAGGAAGCCCTGAAGACATGGTCAGACAGAATCGCCATCCAGAAGAATCTGACAATGCCCCAGATAGAAGAGCTTCGGGCTATTATCAATATAAGCCACTGATATCTCCAGCGGAAGCGACACAGCCTGACCACGATAAATATAGCTTGGATGCAACTTGGATCCTGGTGATCTGTGCATCTGAGTGTGGCAGATGGCGCAGAATTACTAGCTCTTGAACCGCATGGAAAGAATGGAAGAAGAAATCGCACGTATTGTAATGACTGTCACCGAGCTCAAAGTGCAGAAGGACAGCCTTTTCCAGCTCAGCACGGAGCAAAAGGTCTGCTTCTCATGCCCGACTCATTCAATACTTATGCACACATACTGGACAGGCATTGGTAGGCAACTTGGCAAAGGACATGATATTCAACCCCAAACAGATAATATGGATGCAAATCCCTATGGAGCTTCATGTGAGTTTAAGACTATTTGTGAAGACTTGCGACTGACATAGGCATGAATCAGCAAATAGTGATGGCCCATGAGCTTTTCAGCGAGGTTGCGGGCAACGACTTCCGTGAGAAGATACTTCTCAATGAGTGTAAAGAGATGGGCCGTAATGCTCGCACACAAGTACACTTGGCAGTGAGTGATTTTGTTGAGGTATATGATGCACACCTGATCTAAGAAGGTTGTTTAGGTCCTTGACAGTCTGGCGGGCAAGAACACGACAAATTTAGAATGGGCGACATATCACATGGCTGAGAAATTCCGCCAGGGAAGGCCTGGCAGTATGCTGCCTATTGACTATTAGCTCCATGTGGCTGTACTTGTGAGTTCTCCTCCCTCTCATAGTGTAACAGACTAAAACATGCAACAACAGCGCCGGTATTCTATCGAGAACAAGAAGGAATACCTTGAGGGTCTTCAGGCGACCTTTTTGGCAGGAGAGGATGAAGGCAACAAAAGCACGACACTTCAACTAACGAGGAAGAGAAAGGGGACTGGAAAAGTACCCAAGGGCCATGATTTTTGGGTCAAACTGGAAGTGTGGTTTGCCACCAAGGTGCAGGCATGGGGCAGTAACAAAAGTTCCCCCACTTGGGAGCAGTAAGTATCATCTCATCTTTGTTATGAGCTTGGACACATTAACAGACTTGTGAACATGGCAGATACATTATCGAGACAGTCTGTCTTGACCTTAAAAGGTTCCGAGAGGGACCGGTGATACGCTAGAGGTAGCTCTAAGTGCCGGGCACAACACCAAAACAACCTCTAATGCAGGGGGGTGCTGGAGCTAGTATCTAATACACAAGGAATTGTTAGTGATGACTTTAGAAATCGATGGCATACTGAGAAGCAACGGGGAGTATGAGATTATAGTGCCCGAACGGTTTCGGGACTGCGCCGAACACCGACCGAACGTTCGGTCGGTCGAGTCGGGATTCGGTCGGTAACGAGAAGGTAGTGTCGCGACCGACAACTACGTGCTTCAAGAGCCACACGGGACTCTGACAATATACGAGGGAGGATGGGGTACGAGCGAAGAGACGAGTACGAACGCGAATGAGGCCGAACGACGAGGATGACAAGTTTTCGGGAGTCGATGAAGACGATTTCGATGGCTGAGACGAGTGTGAATGAGCTCTGAACTGTGGGGTGCGAAAGCTGGTTTATTCCAGAGTTGTATGTAGGTTTTTATAGTAAACAGCGCCCCTAAATAAAATATCGAACCCGAAATGAGAGTAGATGTCGAATGGGCGCCAAGCCCCAGCGATCAGAGAAGATAAGAAGGTAGGTGAGATGTCCATATGGGTTCCGAAGGTGATAAGGTAAAAGGTAATCAGTGATGTCGAAATCCCGAACGTTCGGGATCCGTCGCCCGAGCGTAGGTAGCAGGAACAGGCGTTGGAGAGCCAATGAAAAATAAAGAAGAGGTATTGTACGACCAGGGTGGCCAAGCAATGGTGCAAGATCGCGTTTGACCGACCATGCGGAAGTCAGGAAGATAAGCGATAAGGACCGACCGACTCACGGAGGACATCGGCCGATACGGAATACTGGCTCCGATCTCGTAAACACTTATCGTAACACTCCTATGCGGTCATGGTAAGTACGTGAAGTGTGGGCAAACTGACCCAAGTGCTGCCGAACGTCCTTCGGTGGCTTGTCGTCGGTCGGGTAGGGACCGACCGTGTTCGGTAAAAGTCAGCGTCTTCGGTACTTGTCGAGCGCTGTTCGGTATCTCCCCAAAGCTTCCCGAATACCTCCCTTGGACCCTAGCGCGGGTGCATGCTCATCACCGGGGATGCTCATGGAGCATCTTCCTAAATCTATGACCCTATCTTGTTCTGGGGACGAAGCTGCACCCAGGACTGCAAACTTCAGCAGCACTGGTGCAGGAAGTATTGTGCCACCCATAGGAAATGCATCTTGCTCGAACATCTTAGGTATGATCATATGATTATTCACGATAGCGAGAAATCATGTAAATAAGGGCATTATCATTGAGCAAAAATTGCCTGTCTCATTTCTGGTGTGTGTGACGAATGGTGACAGTGCCATCGATGTGACGTGAGGGTCACACTACTCCATCTTCTTGTCGCTGCCACATCATCAACAGCTGCGTCCTCCTCTGTTGTGCATTTGAGGCTTCATCTTTTGGCCCACGGACTCTTAATACAAGACACTAAACACTTGTCAAGCTCAGACGAACAATATGCTTTCTGGGAATCTTCTGGCTATGACGCAATATCTGGCTATGACCTTGGACACTGGGCTATTGGCAACTGACTTGCACCTGGCTTATACTAGTCCTCTGTCTGATCTAGGATGTATGGATGAGGACATCTGGGTGCTGAGATAGCTGACAGCTGGGTATCTCTGGGACAATCTTGCTGACATGGGACCTTTTTTTGGTGCAGATGTGCCTATCATCCTTATGGTAGGCTCTTGATAGATCTCTCATGCCTATGTGCTGCTACATATCTGGTGCTCTGTTCTATCTATCGTAAGTCTTTTGATTCCTATACTTATTTGTCTCTCTAATATGAGTATCACAGTCAGCTATTGTCATCAATCCATGGTGCTTTCACTTGACCACCAAAAGTAGTACGTTGTGTGCAAGAACTCTCCTGGGCAATGTACCGGATATGTTGGATGTGATGAGCTGTATAGGGCTCAGGTGTGGTCAGTGCTGGGTGTCCTGCAAAGGCTTTACAGGTACTTGGTGAGCTATCACTATCCACATATTCCGATGCCATTTTGTTGTATGGATATGGTACAATAAATATTTGATAGCAATATATTTTTTATTTCTTTTATTATGATATCACAGTGCGATAAATGGCAAGATAAGTCCTAAATGGGACATATCTGTCAATAGGCAGTGGTGGGGTGCATATGATGCTAAAATGATGATGCTGAAGTGATGCTGAAGTGAATTCAGTGTCACCCTCAATTAAGACATGGTGGGCATGATCTCAGCACCACATTCTTGATGTGACAGCCAGTTCACCTAGACTCCATCCAGTCATTCTCAATCTCAGCATCATGCTGGTTTAGGTGCTGGCGGTGTATGAATATGTCAAATAATGTATTCTCTTATAATATAATTATCCTAATTTCCTTCTTGAATGCTAGAAACATCTGGAAAACCACCCCTTTGTATTAAGCTCTAATTAGCTATAATTGATGCTCTACTATACTAAATTATGAAATATTAGGATTAGACATTTTTAGCTTACCCCCCTCTAAACCTGTTCTAATCAGACATAATTTTCCTAAATTACAAATTATTAGGATTGATTATAACTTGAAATTTTGGAAAAATCATAATAAATCAAGCATCACAGTTCTCATAGCCTTCTTATAGAGTCATATCTATTAGAGCACTAGTTCAATACCTAAACACAAAATATACCTTATAACAAACTTGCTTTCTGCCAGAGTTGAACCAACAACCTCATGTATGCAAGCACCCAGGACAGATGCTCTAAGCCACTAAGCCACAAGGTCTAAGATATGAACTTGGTAATCTAAATACGTAGACATAATATAGACAACCTCAACATCTCTGATTTTATTTAACATTTATCTTTCCTCTATCTTATAAATAAATAGGTCAATAAATACACAAAAAGCCAGGTCTTTTAGGATTTAGTTTAAACACTAGCTAAGAAGATAATAAACCAATGGAAAATCAATAATACACTTTATATAGGATAAAAATAAATTATGGCACTTATACAATTTGGACTGAGAATGTGTAAAACTATGATTGAGTGTAATATTCAATGGGACTCTACTAGTATAAACAATGCTACCTGAATTTGTAAATTTGATCAAAAACATGATTATGAATAATCAAGATCCAATAAGAGAGAGGGGTTTTCCAAATAGCCACTAGTGAGGTAGAGGGTGGGGACAAGGGTATGGCATGCCTATATATAAATAAGCACAAGATTGTTGGAGGTAATCTTAATATGCTTAATGCATATATTTCCTATATGGCAGGCAAATATATCATTCTGGCACCACATACTAATATGACTGTCTTTTTCACAGCCTAATAGCTAGAGGAAAACACCAAGTTTGAGCATCTTCTGTATAACAAGGCAATGAACAATATAAATAGTGCTTAAAATTGTAATATCAATAGTGACGATGATTGTGTGCTGCACAAGACAGTATTAGCCACTATACTAATAGACAAGGTCTATAAGGCTGCATATAGCATATCCCTAAGTCCAACCCATATGTTGTGTCCTATAATGACCAGTAGCAGGCATTGGCTAACAATGACAACTTTAATGATCTTGTGTGCAAGGACAAGGTACCTAGGTCTTCATAGCCTCTTGTGGCAGCTGCCAAGCTGCCAACAAAGTGGCTGAGGGCATCAATGCATATTTCTCTCTTTCTATATCCCTTATAAAAGCAGCTGGAAAGTCAGCAAAAGAGCTACAAGATAATGGTATAGGCATATATGAAGGAGAGTAATATGCTGAAATAGTATAGAATGTGCCACATCTTTACCTTCTCACTGATAGACCAGTAGTACTTACTATTTTCTACTGATAATTAAAGACTTCTTAGTATAGAATTAGTGCTAATATCATGAAATTAGAAACCAATCTAATGCTCACAATATGTTGCTCCCAATTAGGAAATTAGACACTTTTAGATACTATTAACACTTTTAGATACTTTTAGACACTATTAGATATAATCCGGAGCTAATATAAGGGGGTGTTTTTAAAGATGAAGAGGTCATCCTTCAATAGTACATTAACTGTTAAGCCACTAAGCTTATAACATGCACTTGATACACTAAGAGGAGTTCTCTAGGCTAACAGTTATGGCCCAACAAATAAAGACTATTGCACATTTTTGGGCTTGTACTAGGAAGTCTTGGTTACTGTTAATCTGATCCTTGAAAAGGTGGAGGAGATGTTGATTAACTATAGGACAATGTTTGTTAGATACTGGGAGGTCTTCTCTAATATAACAGATAACTTCTGGCAGTGGTAGAGGATAATAAAGGCCTTAAGACAAGTCCAGTGCTTTGTCAGACTAAGTGGATCTAGCAGAGTTTACAAAGTGTGGGCTGAAAGGGCCAGATGCTAGACACAGTGCAAAGATTGAGATGTATACAAAGTGAATGAGCTGATCTTCTAAGAAGCTCAGCTCCCCTATATATAGTACAGGCTATTTAGGGTGGGATAGACATAGGGTCCATGCTTCTAAATGCTAAGTAATCTGCAGTCATGTTTTGTACTCCACAGCTCTTTGATATAACCATATATAGTAAGTATATCAAATGTTTGTCCACAGCAATATCAAATAGAACTCAATCACAATCGATATCAGTAAGCCATATAAGAGGAGGAGAAGAATGAGTCATAATATCATAAGCATTCATATGTCAGCATGTAAATGGTAATCAGTCTGAGTCTGGGTCATGTGCATATCTCATAACCATGTCCTGAGTCACATGCCTAGACATGTGTCAAGTCACAGTCCTAGTCATCAACATTTAAGTCCAAAGAGACACCTGACCTTTCTTTCCATCCATGTGTGAAGCACCTGTTAGAATGCAGTCCTAATATTAACTTTGATCAAATCCTTGCTAGCCATTACTCTATCAAGAGCACTAACATGTAAGTCAAGACCCTTATTAAAGGGGTTGAAATTTACTCCAAAAGAGTCAAAGTCAATTGCTCAATTTCCAACCATGG